TGGAGGGGTTGAAGGGAGGGCTGGGCAAGGGTGAAAAATAAGAACCAAGAGAGACTCCGTAAAGGTGCAAATTTCCAATGATGAATTTCATTATATTGTACACCTAAAATGTACCAATAATTAGAATGAATAATAGATAATGCAAAATAGGAAGAAAAGGTCCAAAGGGATAGGGGTAGTTGGAGGGGAAGGGGAAAGGAAAGAAGGGAAAGGAAAATTGCTGAGAAATGGAAAAAATGGAAATAAAGTCTTTGTAAATAGGGAAGGGTGGAGGGGGTGAAGGGAGGGCCAAGAATGGGGAAAAAATTAGAACCAAGATGCATTATGTAAAGGTACAATTCCCAATGAGAAATGTAATTGTGTTGTATACCTACAATGTGCCAATAAAAGAATTTAACAACAAAAAAAAAGATGCTTGATATGTATGAATATTTGAGATCACCTTCCCATCCCCTGAGAGATGATGAAGATAGTTTCCCTGTCCCTGCCCTAATGTAATGATGTTTGTTTTGTAGAACTCAAAGAGCCTGTGGGACAAATAGTCTGTACAGACAAAGGGATCCTTGCAGTGGAGCAGAACAAGGTTCTCATCCCACCCACCTGGAACAAGACCTTCGCTTGGGGCTATGCAGACCTCAGCTGCAGGCTGGGGACCTATGAGTCAGACAAGGTTTGCATTGCTCCTTCTCCCTTGGTTCACAGTGTCCTCCTGCAGTCTGGATGTCCTGGGGCTGGGGACCCATTCCAGAACTCATCAGCTCTTCACCCAAGGCCAGGAGACAGGAGCACAGCACTGCTTCAGGTCATGATCGGGGAGCTGGTAGAGAAGCTGTGTTTTCTGCAGAGCAAGCACCTTTTGGAGATTGTGAGAGCTTTCCTCCCGCTCACACAATTTCCTCCGAGCAATTGAAGCCCGCAAAGGGCTGGCCATTTCTGCCTGCCGGTCCTGCCTCCTTGGGGCAAGGCACCATCAGTGCACTTAACACTTTAGTTCTGTAAAATTGCTGACAGAAAACGTGTTAGCCCACCCCATGACTGTCTCTGGGAGGCAGGCTGCCCACGTTTGCTTGCAGAAGTCCCCTCTCCCTGGTGAGAGATGAACAGACCGCACCACCTGCAGTGCTGATGGTCACTGACCTCCTCACACACGGCGTGCTTTTCTTTTTACCTTCTCTCCGGCCGCAGCTGACAGCCTTCACTAGCTCATCCCTGGCATCTTAACCAGCACCAGAGGAATTGAACCTCATGTTCCCAACTGGAAAAACTAGACCCACCCACCCAGTCATGGGCAAAGTTCTCTATAATGGTGGCTCGAGCACAGCTGCTCAAGGGTGTGGAAGCTCTCCGGGTGGGTCACGGAGGAAGCAGCCCAGAGTGTGAGCCAGGCCCTGCCCTCCACTGAGCTCTGCTCCTTGCATTGCGGAAGTCTGGGCACTGTGGCCCTTTGGTTTCACATCACATGTCTTCTGTCCCACAGGCAGTGACCGTGTACGAATGCTTGTCCGAGTGGGGCCAGATTCTCTGCGCCATCTGCCCCAACACCAAGCTGGTCATCACGGGTGGCACGAGCACAGCAGTGTGTGTGTGGGAGATGGGCACCTCCAAGGAGAAGGCCAAGAGCCTGGTGTTGAAGCAGGTGCCGTCGGGGTGGGGCCGGGTGGGCGGGCAGCTGCCGACCAGAGACGCTGGGGCACCACGAGCAGCATCCCAACATGCCTTCTGCTAGGAAAGCCCTTCCCCAAAGTGCTGATCAGAATATGCTGCTTCTCAAACTGATCTAAGCTGCTCCTTTTTTAAAAATCTGAAGCAAACAGTCTTTAGGTAATATGTTTTAATGTGTTTAACATAAATATTTCTTAGAAATCATATGTACATTGAGTCTTTAAATCCATATATTTGCAGTTGATTCATACAATTTCTTTCCAGTGGATTTTCATTCAACTGGCCCACTAAGTCTTAGTTATTTCTTTTTCTCCACTTGTCATATCCTTTAGTATGTGCCAAACTCATGCATATATTCAGCCCTTGCTGATTCTGCTAACACGTACTTCTGATCCCCTATTATGTATGAATCTATTACTACTTTTTACTTCTAACAGAAATCCTTTTATAATTAAGTTATCCTGTAATATTTATGAGGGAATTTATCATAAGCTGTTTTTTAAAGAAGGGGCATGCATCTAAGTGATTCTTTATGATACACATTTGAAAACCATTGTAATAATACTATCACTTATGGAGCACCTGCTATGTTCAGGACACTGTTCTGGGTGTTTAAAAAATATAGAACTCCAAAAAGTATATATATAGAACTCCAAACTTCATAATTCTTACAAGGTAATTATTAGCCATATTTTACACCTAAGAAAACAGCCATGCTTAGTGGCACACACCTATAATCCCAACACTTGGGAGGCTGAAACAGGAGGATTGTTCAAGGCCAACCTAAGCAACTTAATGAGACCTTGTCTCAAAATAAAATTTAAAGGGCCGGGGATTTAGCTCAGTGATTTCGACATCTGCTGAGCAAGCGCAAGGACCTGAGTTCGATCCCTGTTACCAAAAAAAAAAAACCAAAACAAAATAAAATTTAAAAAGGCTGAGGTTGCAGCTCTGTTGTAGAGTGCTTGCCTCACATGTGAGGCCCTGGAATCAGTATCCAGTACCACCCTAAAAAAAATCTTATACTTAGGAGAGGTCATAAGACAAGCCCAAAGCCACACTTGTGATAAAGCCAGCATTTAAATTCAGTTCTGATTCCAAAGCCAAACTCAAACAAAGAGCAGTGTGTCTTTGGAGTCTGCAGAAGGAACTGAACCCCTTCGGTGCTTGCCTACAGCCACCTGTCCAGGCAGAGCCTCCCTGGGTCAGAGAGCACCATAGGCTTCCCAGGTCAGAGCAAGCCTCTGGGGTGAGGCCAAGACAGCCCAGGAGAGAGTAGGAGCACTGTTCCCCGCTTCCCGGGACCGGCTCAGTCCCCTCCACTCTGGGGACCCCCTCCCCACAGGGAGCCTGAGGTCCCCTGGTGCATCTGAGAGCTCCTGGGGTTTTGTAGGGCACTGTTGTTTTGATCAACTGACTGGCCACTGTTCTCATTGGTAGGCCTTGCTGGGCCACACAGATACTGTCACCTGTGCCACGGCATCCTTAGCCTACCACATAATCGTCAGCGGCTCCCGAGACCGGACCTGCATCATTTGGGACTTGAACAAACTGTCCTTTCTAACCCAGCTCCGGGGCCACCGAGCGCCAGTTTCTGCTCTTTGTATCAATGAGTTAACGGTAAGTAGGAAGTCATCTACTTGGTTTATGTTTAGGAAAGCACATTGCTCTACCCAAGGTAAATAAAAAAATGATTCCTAGGTATTTTTTCTGAGCTGATAGGTGCTCGTTCTGTGACTACATTTTCTTTTCTTGATTTATGTGTTGTCTAAAAATCAAATGGGTATTAAAATTTATAACTCAGCAGTTTTGTCTTAAGATCCATTTACTGCTACATTTTAAAAAGAGCAAGATTTTGTTAAAATGAAACAAAACGATCTATAGATGCTGCTTTTTAAAAAACAAGGAATTTGTTGAATTTATTAAGATGTTAGAATTTTGTTGAAGTTTTTAGTGAGGTATATTCAAATTATCTGTTGCACGTATTTGGAACTCAGACATGAGAATTGTTACAAGATCCCCAAGTTATGAAAACATCATCTTTTCTTAAAACTAAGTATTTCACGTACAAGTGAGGAAGTGAAGCAGGTACTGCCCTTCAAACTCCCTGCACCCCCAACCGAGCCCACTGGGGAGACCAGTGGGGTCCCGTTGCTGAGAGGGCTGTTAGGTAGAGGACCCTGGGGCAGTTTACACAGATGAAGATCCGCACCCTGGGGGATGCTGGCGGAGAGTGGCCTCAGATCCTGACTGTGATGTTAGCAGGTGACCTAGGCTGTTGGCCCTCACCTTTCATGCTCTCCAGCAGGGCTGTGGCTGCTAACCCAGGAGGTCACCATATGGTCACGTGGAAGTGTCCACCCTGTGACAGGCACACACTTCCTTTAACAGTGGAGTGTTGTCTTCTCATAGGGTTGAGGAGACCCCGGCCTGGTAGAACTTGAGGAGAAAACTTGTTCATTTCTACTTCAGAACTCATGGAAACACAAGTTATTAACTTAGGGCATCTTAGAGGTTATTAGAAGTGATCCGGGTACCACATTTCTTCTTTTTCCCTCATTCTCCCTCTCCCATTATGAATACAAATTTTAAAACAAGGTACTAGAGTGTCACCAAGATTTTGTCTTTTTACTTATTAAAGAGGGAGAGACAACCTATCTGGACTGAAAATTTATCTTCCGCACTCTGTTCTCAGTGGTTGGACTCGTTGTGTAAGATTTAGAGGAGCGGCTCCCTACCTCTGAGTGCTGAAGGTGTCTTTGCCTTTGTTTTTACTAAGTATTTTCTAAGTCAGCAAGCACTGAATTCCAGTTAAGGTTGGAAATTAATCAGCCACTAGTGTGAGAGCTGAGAGCCAGGCCAAAGATTCCATTCACTCCTGAAATCAGCATTTACTGGGCAGGGAATGAAGAAAGTAAGGGATGTTCCTTTCTCTTCCCAGGGGGACATCGTGTCATGTGCTGGCACATATATTCATGTGTGGAGCATTAATGGGAACCCCATCGTGAGTGTGAACACATTCACAGGTCGAAGCCAGCAGATTATGTGCTGCTGCGTGTCAGAGATGAACGAGTGGGACACACAGAACGTCATCGTGACAGGACACTCGGATGGCGTGGTTCGGGTGAGTGAGCTCAGAGAAAACCCCACTGTTGTATTTATTCTTCCAGTCACTAGAAACCCAGGAAGCTTTGGGATAAGGACACCAGAACAGGCTGTGGTATTCAGCAAAGTCTCGCCCTGGTCCACCCAAGTCTTGGTCAACATCTTACAGGCACTGACCCCCAGACAGCTTGACACAAGAGGTCACTTACACGTGACCCCCATGCCATGCTGAGTGCTCAGAGTAGACTGTGTGGGTCCTAGGTTTTTGGCCTGTCCAGTGGCTTCACTGAGGGACACAGGAAGCAGGGTGATGTCTTCCTTACTGAGATTGGAGCTGGAGACCATGTGCAGAGACCTCATCCACTCCTGGGCAGGACCCTGCAGGATTTCACCTGAAGCTGACACAATTTATCTACTAGGCATTGGGCCTCTACGGGAAAGAGAATAAACAGAGTATTTACCTCTGTAGTCAGCTCAAATATTTGAGTTTTTCTCTCTCAGGAAATTTTTCCTTATGCCTGTTTTCTTAATTGTCCTCTTGGTCAAAGCTGAGAGTAGTCGCCCTCCCAGGTCCATTACATGCTCAGGGACAGTGAGGCTGTCAGCCCACCTCCGACATCTCCTGTGTCAAGGGCTTTCTCAAGAGCAGTGTTCCAATCACCAGACCTACAAGCATCCTATAAAAGCACCACAGCCCAATGCCTTGCAGATCCCGCTGGCTGTGTGTCTTCCTGGGAATCCGCAGTATGCATTTGTGCATGCAGGGCATTGAGAAGCTCTTGTCAGAAACAGAAGCTCACTTGCTTACTTGAACTGAACCATGTTTAAACTGACTTGACCACAGTCCTTTTCCCTCCACCCTGAAACAGCCATCAGGTGAGATGGCCACTGCCACAATGGCAAGGTACAGGTGGATCTGCACACACACAATCCTAAGAGTTCCACTTAACCCAGAGAGCGTCCTTTCATCCAGTAACACGTGGCTGGCTTCTTGGATCTGTTTCTTAACTATCTTTTATTTCCCTGCTTCCTTACGTGTAGTTTTGGAGAATGGAATTTTTGCAAGTTCCTGAAACGCCAGCTCCTGAGCCTGTTGAAGTCCTAGAAATGCAGGAAGAGTGTCCAGAAGCACAAATAGGTATTTAATACTGCTCAAAACTTACTCTGTTGATACCCTCTTTTCTTTTTGGACGGTCAGTCTGGGTAAGTGTATACCAAACAGCGTAACCCAGAGCTGGGACTGGGCAGAGCTCTCAGGAAGACAGTTGCTGCCTGTTGTGCAGTCCCCTCGGGCAGATGTGCCAGGCTCCCTCCCACTTACCGACCATGTGTTGGCAGGGCAACTCACGTTGACCTCCACAGCTCATCCTGCATGCAGCCTTCCTGGAGTGCCAAAGGCGTGGGCTCCGTTCTGCAGATACAGAGCAGAACCGGAGGGCACGGCATTGAAAGTCAGGCAGCTCCATAGCCTAGCACCATATCTGCCCTGTCCTGCCTCTTGCTGGCCCGGTGTGCATGACAGGGTGGTATCACTGTCCACAGAGCCAAGGCAGAATCCTATCTTCAGCATCTCCACCCACACCTGCTCGCAGAGGACTCTGATTCAAGCAGAAGCTCCATTCTGTTATTTGGAAAGCACTAGACGTTTTTCCAGTGAAAATGGAAGCTAGATAATTTCCATACAAAATGTTGAAAACAGTGCCATCAGGCCAGGCTGAGTTGGGCTTGCCTTTCATGTCCAGAGCAGCTGCCACCAGGGGCTTCCCAGGAAGGACCAGGCTTCTGGTGTGACCTTCAGATTATCTCTTTGTGATTGATTCTGTACACTGACAGCTCAGCGTGACTTGCACAATGCAAAGGTGTTCCTAAGGAAAAAGCCTTACTACCAAAAAGACACAAAGCACATCTCTGTAAAAGCTCAAAGCACTCTTCTTCCCTTGCTGGAAAGCAGAAAAGCTCTCATGGGGAGTCCCTTTGGATCCTTTTATTACTTTCTTTTGTTTTTTGTTTTGTTTAGTTGTGTTTTTTGTTTTTTTGAGACAGGATCTCAGTATGTAGTTCAGGCTGGCCTTGAACTCATGGCAATCCTCTTTCCTCAGCCTCCTGAGTGCTGGGATTAAGGTGTGTGCCACCACACCCGCTCCTTTTATTACTTTCAACACAGTAAATTTCTGCATAGTCAGTTGCATCCCCACCAGAGAGGTATCTGGGTATTTGGACATGTAGAAATTCTGTTCAGTTCAGTAGGTGTTTGGAGATTACCTGTAAACTGGCAGACACCAGATGAAGGGGCCCAGTGACAAGTGGGTCACTTTCCCTTCCTTTAACAAAGTGTGCAACAGTGTGAGATGGGTGAGTAAGTGAGGTGGAAGGAGGTCAGATTCCTGTGAAGAGATGTATGCGTCCTCGTCTTCCTCCACATTCTTGCTATGGACAGAGTTTGGCAGAGATGGCAGAGGGGAGAGCAGCCCAGGAGAAGGGTGGACCCTAGACATTGTAGTGTGGGAGGATTCAACAATGGAGGCTTCAGGTAGGACTTGAGTGAAAAGAGAGATAAGCCAGGGGTTCCCTGGGAATCAAAGCCATTTCCAAGGCTGCTGTTTGAGGAGCTGAGGGCACCTGATCATAAGCTACTGGGGCGAAACTCCATTCAGGTTGTCTCCTGGACTCCTGCAGAGTGTAAGGCTGGCAAATGACGAATTTGACCTGCTAAGAAGAAATGTGTGTGCAGCAGCCTGGCACTTGCACGCTTTTTTTTTTTTTTGAGACATGGTCTCTATGTAGCCCACACTGACCTGGAACTCCTGCTTCAGCCTCCCAAGTGCTGGGATTACGGGTCTGCACCACCACACCATGCTGCCCTGCATATTGCTTTCTCTCCTTTTTCCCCAATTATACATTTTCACTTCTCCTTTAGGAGTCTTTATTGCAGGAGAGCAGGGAATTGGTGTGGGGATGTGCAAAATAACAATGGAAAGAGGAAGAAAACCAAAATCCTAGATCAAAGCTTTGATCAGTAACTCATTCATGTTTGTTCTCATTTAGTTAGAGTGCAACAGGCAAGGTACTGCACTTGGGCCCCTTCTCCCAAGTTTATCTCTACTGTCTAGTAGAAAGAATGTGTAGACGTAATAGCCTGGGGCAAGGATTTCAAGTACCTGAAAGGCACAGAACTGCTATAGGAGTTTTAAGAGAGGGAGGGAATGCTTCCAGCAGCAGGGATTGGGTGAAATTTTGGAGAAATGGTTTTGAAGCTTTGCCTTGAAAGTCAGGCAGCATCAGAATACAGACACTGGAAGACAGACCAAGAGCTTGATAAGGCCAACAGGGTGTGCAGAACCAGCGTGAGGAAGAGAAGCTGTGTGAAGAATACCTGAGGCCCCACCAAGCAGGACTGGGTAGGGAGTGTGAGACTGAATGCCAAGCCAAAGACTTTGCCCAGAGTATTCTATGGACTCTTTCAGGCAGGCTAATCCTCTTTTGCTGACTTCAGTCTTGTTAAAAATTCTGGCTTTTTTTTTTCCTGTTAAACTTAGCTTCAGATATTAAGTCTGTTGTGTTTTATATCTGATAGAAGAGAGGGATGAGACCAAGCTGGGTATGGCCGTGATGTGTCTGTGTTTTCTGATTCTTCCAATGCTTCACCCAGGGCAGGAAGCTCAAGATGAGGACAGCAGTGACTCTGAAGCAGAGGAGCCAAGCATCTCCCAGGAGCCCAGAGACGTCCCCAGCCAACCCAGCAGCACCAGCCACAGGCCCCGGGCGGCATCCTGCCGAGCCACAGCCACCTGGTGCACTGACAGCAGCTCCGATGACTCACGGCGCTGGTCTGACCAGCTCAGTCTTGATGAGAAGGACGGCTTCATATTTGTGAACTATTCTGAGGGCCAGGCCAGAGCCCATCTGCAGGGTCCCCTCAACCACCCTCAGCCCAACCCCATGGAGGCGAGGAGTTACAGCAGATTGAAACCCGGTAACTTGAAGTCTGGCGTCTTGCACTGTCTTTAGGTGGGCTGAGGGCTGGTGGACCCAGGCAGTGGGTCCCGCTCCCCTGGGCTCTGTCCTGTTTCTGATATGTGCTGTGACCTGGGCCATCATCAAAGGCCTTGCATGGTCCTTCCCAAGTAGAGCAGATTTAGAGTCTGTCCTATGAAGGTGTCTTCTACATGCCGTGCAGTGGTTAAGGAAGAAACACCTCGGCCCAAAAAGTCTACTCATTCCCAAATGGTGAAATTGTGGAAGCTTTTGAAAATAAGCAAGTATCAGTTACAAAAAAAATAAATAAAATTCCAGTAGGAGCCCTCTTTGCCTGTAATAGAGTTAGAACAAAGTCTTCGAAATCTTGCCTTGCAGATTTCCCCTTGTCTTTCGTTTCTCTCAGAATGTGCTGGTGCGTGCTGACCCACCAGTGGTGTCCAGTAGATGGCTTTCCCCAAAGCCACGGGCTGCTCTAGCTGTGTGTTGAGGCACCCAGCTTCCACTGCTCCACCGCTTTCTCTGTTTAGTTTGTCCTCTCTGCCTCCTGCCCAGGGTACCGATGGGAGCGGCAGCTGGTGTTCAGGAGCAAGCTGACCATGCACACGGCCTTTGATCGCAAGGACAATGCACACCCGGCCGAGGTCACCGCACTGGGTGTGTCCAAGTAAGTGACAGGACTTCCCAGCCCCCTTCCCCTCTGTGGCACTCACGCAGCCTGGGGCCACAGGGCTTAGCCCAGTCACTGGGGAAAACAGATCTTAAGTGGGTTATCCAGAGTAGCTTGAAGATTCTTAGAATCTGTAAAAGAAACATGCCCACCTGTGGGTTTTAATTCTCAACTCAAAAAAAAATCTGTGTCCTCTGTGTTCTTCAAAGATCTAGCAGAATTTGATCTGAAGACCACTGAAACAAACAGAAGAGTCTGTTCTATCTTAGTTCTATCTTTATCTCCTTTGACATTGTGCCCAAGGGCATCGGGGAGGAGGGGACCCTCACCATTGCTGACTCATGGCCCCGCTCCCGCCCATGTCTCCCATAGGGATCACAGCAAGATCCTGGTTGGGGACAGTCAAGGCCGAGTCTTCAGCTGGTCGGTGAGTGACCAGCCGGGCCGTTCTGCAGCTGACCACTGGGTGAAGGACGAAGGCGGAGACAGCTGCTCGGGCTGCTCAGTACGCTTCTCGCTCACGGAACGGCGACACCACTGCAGGAACTGCGGCCAGCTTTTCTGCCAGAAGTAAGCCGGGCAGCCAGGGTGGGATCTGTGCACTTCACTGACCCCAGGCCTTCTTCCTTCCTTCCCATTACCACAACTGAGAAATGTTTCTCCCGAAAAGGCATGGACATTAGCATCAGCAGCACCTGCAGTGCGGACCTTCCCTCCCGCTTGCATCAGAGGCATGTGGGGTGTGAGTGTGAACACGAACCCTCTTCTCCCCCACTCTTCGCACCCTTCCTCAATCGCACGCTCAGTTGTCTTGCGAGCATGTGTCACTGCTGTCCCCTTTACAGTACTGCTTTCTGTCCCCGCCGTACATTTCACACTGTCTGTCCCCTCTTATTCCCTTCCCCTTGTCTAATAGGCTCCCTTGTACTTTCATGCATCTTTTTTAGATTCTACATACTAGGGAAAAACATGTAGTACTTGTCTGAGTGGTTTATTTCACTTAAGATGATGTCTTCCAATGTCATCTGTTTTGGTGCAAATGATATAATTTCATTCTTTATGGCTGAGTAATATTCCATCGTGTATATATACCATAATTTCTTTATCCATTCATCTCTTGGTGGGCAGCCAGGCTGGTTCCACATCCTGGCTGTTGTGAATTGCACCACAGTGACCAAGGTATGCAGGTATTCCCTGTAGGGTGCTGACTGTTCCTTCAGGTGTATACCAAGGAGTGGTAGAGCTGGATCAGTCAGTAGGTCTGTTCTTAATGTTTTGAGGAGCCTCTATGCTCAGTCCCACAGTGGCCTCACTAATCTATATCCCACCAGCAGTGCAGTGGGGTTCCTCCCTGCTGCACCCTCACCAGCACTGATTGCCGCCTATGGTCTTGATGACAGCTGTTCTTACTAGGAGAGGTGGGACCTCAATCATCTCCCTAATGGCTAAATTTGTTGAACATCTTTCCATACACATATTGGCTATTTGCATCACTTCTTTTGACAAGTGTCTGTTCAGTTCATTTGTCCAGTTATGGATTGGGCTATATGATTTTTTGGTGTCAAGTGTTTTGAGATTTTTACATAATCTAGATATTATTTATTTATTTTTTTTTGGGGTACCGGTGATCGAACTTGGGACCTTGCACTTGCAAGGCAGGCGGTGGAACCACTGAGCTAAATCCCCAGCCCCCCATAATCTAGATATTAATCCTCTGTGGAAAGAGTATCTGGCAACCCCCCCCCCCCCGCTTTAGGTTGTCCCTTCACTCTGTTGGTGGTTTCCTTTGCAGTGCAGAAACTTTTTAATTTAATGTGGTCCCATTTGTTGATTCTTGCTATTATTCCCTGTGCTGTTCGAGTCCTAGTCAGGAAGACTTTGCCTGTGCCTCTGGCTCCAAATGTTTCCCTTCTATTTTCTTCTAGCAGTTTCAAAGTTTTGGGTCTTACCCCCAGCTCTGACCCATTTTGAATTGATTTTTGTGCAGAGTAAGAGCTAAGGCTCTACTTTTAATCTTCTACAGGGGGCTGTCCAGTTTTCCCAGCACCACTTTTTAAAAAGGCTATCTTGGGGTCAGGGATTTAGCTCAGTGGTTCGTCCCTCTGCCTTATAAGCACAAGGTCCTAAGTTCGATCCCCGGTACCAACAAAAAAAAAGAAGGCTGTCTTTTCTCCATATATTTTTGGCCTCTTTGTCCAGAATTGGCTGGCTATGGTTACATGAGTTTGTTTTAGCATCCTCTTCTATTGGTCTATGTGTCTGTCTATTGTGCCAGTACCATGCTATTCTTGGTACTGTGGCTTTGTAGTATAATTTGAAATCTGGCCTTGCTCTTTTTGCTTAGGATTGCTTTGGCTATTCTGGGCCTTTTGTATTTTCTTTTTCTTTTTTTATTATTAGTACATGTTTGCAGTACAGAATGAATACATTCATTGTGGGTAGCTGGTATGTGTATCCTCTTGATTCTCTTTATGTCTCTTCTCCTTTCCCCCTCCCCACTCCCAAGATCTCTTGGCCCATTTCCCATTTGCAAAAGATCTATCTCCCTGTATTTTCTTACAAATTTTGGGATTGTTGTCTCTAGTTCTGTGAAGAGTGTCGTGGAATTCCAATGGGGACTGCGTTGAGCCTGTAGCTCACTTTTGGTAATATGGCCATTTTAACAGTGTTGATTCTGCTCATCTGGGAATGGGAGGCCTTGCCGTCTTGTAGTGTCTTCTGTTTAAGCTATTTGAATGAAACTGTTTTCCTGATTTCTTTTTCCACTATACAGATGTATAGAAAAGCTACTGATTTTCTTATGTTGAGTTTGTATTCTGCATAGACTTACTCTTGAGCTTGACTAGATATTGCCTAATTACTCTCTCCGCCAGTGCTGTGTGTTTCCACTGCCTCCACAGGATACAAGTTTACACAATTCTTAGTTGTGCATGGTAAGAGAGGCCTTTTCCCTGTCGCCAGTCTGACAGCTAAGAAAGTGTGTTGTCTTCCACCGTGCAGTGCCGCTGAGGTACACCCTCTCCCATGCCTGCTGACGGTGGGGTTTCTCCTGGCCTTTCCTGGTTTCCCTTTAAGGTTTACCCTTTTTTTCCTTCTCTTTTCCTTGAGGAGTTCTTTTTGTACTGTGGGCGCTAGTCCTTTCATGTAACCTCTACCACCTTCACCAGTCTGTGGCTTCTGTTTTACCTTCACAATTTTTTCTGTTGTGTATGTGTGTCTGTGTCTTCAGATCTCTCTGTCCTAAGACCATAGTAACTTTCTCTTTTAAAAGACTTCACATGTAGGGCTTTAATCCATGCAGGGGCCTAGCCTCTGGTCTGGAAGGCCAGCTGTGCCAGCACTTCGGATCTGGACCTTGCTGCACACTGGAAGACTGGCACATGCAGCATCACTTTGCGTGCAGTTGCAGCAGAGATGACTTGGGAGTGCACTTGAGGGCTCTCATTGCATCGAGGCTACACCATTTCCAGACTGTATATTCATTTCCGGAAGTGGTGGCTGAGGTTTCATAGGCAGCATTGGCTTCCACTGACCTTGACCAAGTGGCTGGGCTGCTGTCTTGTGGCCCAGGAGAGTTGCTGAGTCCCCGGGCTGGCATCTACATCTCTGAACCGTGGGTGCTGCTGCCTGTCGTCATGGAGGCTTTGAGAGGATCACTGAGATCCTGCATGTGTTTTATAAGGGGCCCAGGACAGAGCCAGGCAGGGTCAGTGTTCAGTAGAAGGTGGTAAGATTATTAATTTTTTTTTAAAAAAACCTCTTATCCTGGGCAGTCTGATTAAAGATGAGGTAGCCAGAATATCGCTGCCCACACTCCTTGGGGGGACCCCTGGGGTGGGCAGAGGACCCTGTCGTGAGCCCTGCTGTGCAGACACAGCCACCCAGTAGTGGTTTGGCTAGAACCCCAAGTCCGTGCTGCCTCATCTGCTCTTGGCAGTGTTGAAATTTCAAACTAGGAGATTCTTTAAATGACCATTGCTATCAGCTGCTGGGTGGTGGCTGTCTTCCAAACCCTGGCCCAACAGGGACCGATCGATCATAACAGAGCAGACTGGAAGGCACAGTGCTGCCTGAAACCCCACAGCCTTCAGCGCTTCTGGGTCTGTCCAGTGCACTGTGCTTTGTTCTCTGCACACTTTGTCTAATGCAGTGAATACACAGATCTGCATTTCAGTCCTGTGAAATCCAAGCTTTGGGTGAACAAATGCCAGATCCAGCATCCTACCCTGCTGTATCCCAAGGATTGGAACTCAGAACACGTTTTCAAGAAATCTAAGTATAGCTGACCTCAAGCATTTCTGTCAAGGTAAACAGAAAGCATCCAGCCAGACAAGAAAGGCCAGGCTACTTGTTTTTAAGAAAAGATTGTGTTGGTGGGGTATAGCTCAGTTGTAGGAATGCTTGCCTATCCCAGCCTGGGTTCCTGCATTCAATCCCCAGCACCACATAAAAAAAGGAAAAGAAAGAAAAAGGAAAAAGAAGTGATTGAGTAGGTCGATCATAATGTTCTAAAAGCAGAGAGGGACCTGTTTAGTACGAATGTCCTGTGAAATGGGCAACAAGCAGCCACCAAGGTGTCTGAGATGCTGGCCCTCGGCTGCGCCCTGACGGAACGGTGTGCAGTGCACAGTGAAGGGAGCAACTGTCTGGAGAACACCGGAACGGACAGGAGCAAAACAGAACCTCATGGGATCCAGAGACATGGCCCAGCAGCACAGCAAGAGAAACAGAGCCCCCCAGCTCCGCAGCAGAGGCAGGGGCATCTCCCTCTCAGGGCAAGTTGAGCAGGGTCCCAGCAGCTCCTCTCCATGGGACCCTGGCAGCCCTCGCTGCTGGGAGTTTCCTGGTCAGTAAGAACCCGGGCTTTGGAGAGGAGCTGACTCCATCCCAGTAAACCCTTGTTGCTGCAGCCAGGAGCTGTCCTGAGCGGGACCTGCCGTCTGAACCCAGCTCCTCTAGGGGCAGAAAGCCCTGTACACCCCCACCTCTGGAACCCCAGGTGTATCCCACAGCAGGCTCATCGGGTCCCCACCTACCACCAGATGCAGCTCAATCCAGGGGATGGGGGAGTAGCTCCCCAAGACCAGGGACATGGCCTCGTATGGGTCACTGTGCCACAACTGATGGCGACACCCAAAGAGTTCCCACCACTCAGTTCCCAGCACCGCCACAGGTGCTGCTCACCGACAAGGCAGGGAATGGACTCTGACGCCAGTGCTCCCTACCCGTGGGGCTGCTGGGGTGACACCGAGCATCATCGGGACTCTGTCACCCACCATGGCACAGCCTGAGAAGGGCCAGCTATACTCTGCTGTCACTCCTGCAACCCCATCAGCCAAGAGGAACATTGTCTAACTCTAGCCGCAGCCTACACCTGCTCACTCCCTGGAAGGCCCTGAAGCTAAAATCATCCGGGGCTTTTCTTTAAAGCCCTCCAGCTGTCACCCCACCTCCACATGTGCACCACTGGGGAAGCCCAAGGCCATGCCCACAGTAGCACCAGAGAAGAACAATGTAACGAGACTAAATAAGAATTTAAAATCTGTAAGAGAATCTACCCAGTCATATTT